GCCGATGAGTGACTCAAACTCTAAATCTATTTATAATATTATTAATTGAATATTGTTCCCGTGCATCGCACGGGATACATATTAGTAAAATCTAGAGGGGGAGTAATTTGTAATAATGTACATGGTCCTGGCCGAGTGGGTTTAAATCGACCTGAATTAACGCTACACGTTCAATAATTATCCGTAATTTTGGAGAAGTAAAAAATAAAAATAAAACCGTGTTCTTGGCTACGGTCAATGAAGACTCCCCTATCTATTGAAAATGCTAATACCACACTTTAATGCTTTTCACATTCATTATCACACCCCTAAATTCCTGATCAATTTCACCCATAAATGCGGTCCACTACCAAAAGAATAAAAAAAAATGTTTTATTACAACGAAAAATAATACGATAATGTCAATGAAAATTTCAAATGATATTCTAATAATATACCTTTCATTGTAATGATTCCAACGGAAATATTCCGTGGCAATAAATTTTCTATTGAAATTTTAAATAAATTTTGATGGTTTCAACGACTATTTTCCAACGATTTTTTACCGTAGGAATTTCGATTGTAACATGCAGTTTCTGTTGGATTTTTTATTCTCACTCATGTTTCAACCGTTGAAAAATCCACCGTTGGAATCGTCAAAATTCACAAAAATTTCAACGAAAAACTCATTCCAGCGGAATATTATTTTTGTTGGAATTTTAGTTGAAATCCATTGAAAATTTTTAATGGATATAGTTGCATTGGAATACGCATTGAAATTGCCGTTGGAATTTCATTGGAACATTTTTCCGTTTGAATTGTTTTCTATGTTTTTTTTTTNTCGCGTCAAGTTTTTTCTTTTTTTTTTTCTTTTTTCTTTTTTTAAATGATAGACTTTCATTAAAAGAAAAACACATAATTACAAACTAGAAGATAGCTAAATAGCCGAATAAGTCATCTACTTAGCTGAATCTAGCTGGGAAAACTAACTCCATTGGCAGAAAACCCGAGGCAGCCTAGAACCAACCCAACTACAGCACACAAACCTAAACACACAGGCTCCTAACAGGAGAATAAACCTACTTAGTTGTATGTTTTTGTTGTTATTTTGTGTGTTTTTATGTGTTTTATTTGTGTTCGTTTTATTTTATTTTAGGTTTTTCCCGGTCCATTTAGTCGTTTTTGCTCGTTATTGTATTTCTCGTGTTTCTTTAGTGTCTTGTGCCTTTATTTCTCTTTTTATCTTTAATTTTATAGGAAAATGCGCTCCAAACTCGTTAGAAGTCGCCGGAATTCTCGCCGAAAAATTGATCGAAAATCTCGTCGGAAAACATGACGAAAATGTGCCAGAAATCTCGCCAGAAAACATGACGGTAGAGTCCCCGGTGAGTTCCCGACCGATCGCCTCGGTTAGTGCTCGGTGGACCAGAGCGACCTGCGCACGCCCCGAGCGATCTACACCTGCACCCGAGAAGACGCGCGCGCCTAGCACCTCGCCCGT